ACAAATGCATGTGTTTCATCACAATAGATGCTGAGTGTGTACAGAGCTATAAATGCTACTTGCAGGAACCCACTGAACTCACCAATAAGGATCTGTTAATTGTTTTTGAAGTAAGCTAGAGGGCATATGTAAAATACTCTTGTCTCAAGAAAAGTAAGGATGTCTCCTTCCACACAAATACTAATACTTGAAATAATTGAAAGGAAATAGATTGAAATGAAATTTCAATTCCATAATTAATTTATGGAATTGAGAACACATCCACTTATTTTAAGGGTTGTGACAATACTGAAGTGAGCTAAATGGTTTTACTTTAACATTGCTGATGTGTGGATTGGTGAATGTACTTTCGTATTACTGTAGGTACTGAAATTTCCCATACATAGCAAGCCCTGAAATTTAGTTGTAGCAATTTTCTTGATAACATCAAAATGAAATTGTTCTTCCTATACATGGATTATTGTGATTGTTGTTATTTCAGCCACACACAGTAGTGGGCTCCATGGTTCTGGAGGAGGGGATGTAGGCACAGGACTGGGTTATATCAGGGACTCTCCATGCTCAAAAAACTCAGCATATAAAAAGCTGATGGACTGGCCTTTTTTTTTTTTTTATTGTACTTTTGGTTCTGGGGTACATGAGCAGATCATGCAGGATTGATGCATAGGTATATACATGGCAATGTGGTTTGCTGCCTCCATCACCCCATCACCTATATCTGGCATTTCTCCCCATGTTATCCCTCCCCAACCTTCCCACCTCCCGTTGTCCCTCCCCTACCCCCACTAACAGACCCCAGTGTATGATGCTCCCCTCCCTGTGTCCATGTGTTTTCATTGTTCAACACCCGCCTATGAGTGAGAACATGTGGTGTTTGATTTTCTGTTCTTGTGTCAGTTTGCTGAAAATGATGGTTTCCAGATTCATCCATGTCCCTACGGAGGACATAAACTCATTGTTTTTTATGGCTGCATAGTATTTCATGGTGTATATATGCCACATTTTCCTTGTCCAGTCTATCATTGATGGGCATTTGGGTTGGTTCCAAGTCTTTGCTATTGTAAACAGTGCCGCAATGAACATACATGTGCATGTGTCTTCATAACAGAACAATTTATAATCCTTTGAGTATATACCCAGTAATGGGATTGCTGGGTCAAATGGAATTTCGATTTCTAGGTCCTTGAGGAATCACTACACTGTCTTCCACAATGGTTGAAGTAATTTACACTCCCACCAACAGTGTAAAAGTGTTCCTATTTCTCCACATCCTCTCCAGCATCTGTTGTCTCCAGATTTTTTAATGATCACCATTCTAACTGGTGTGAGGTGGTATCTCAATGTGGTTTTGATTTGCATTTCTCTGATGACCAGTGATGATGAGCATTTTTTCATATGTTTGTTGGCCTCATATATGTCTTTTTTTGAAAAGTGTCTGTTCATAACCTTTGCCCACTTTTAAGGATTTTTTTTTCTTGTAAATCTGTTTTAGTTCTTTGTAGATTCTGGATATTAGCCCTTTGTCAGATGGGTAGATTGCAAAAATTTTTTTCATTCTGTTGTTTGCCGGTTCACTCCAATGATGATTCTTTTGCTATATAGAAGCTCTGGAGTTTAATTAGGTCCCATTTGTCTATTTTGGCTTTTGTTGTCTGTCAGTGCTTTTGGTATTTTAGTCATGAAGTCTTTGCCTATGCCTATGTCCCGAATGGTTTTGCCTAGGTTTTCTTCTAGGGTTTTTATGGTGTTAGGTCTTATGTTTAAGTCTTTAATCCATCTGGAGTTAATTTTAGTGTAGGACATTTTCAAAAATGAAGCAAGCTGAACCTTCACCAAAGATAGTTTGAGAAGCACTAGTTTAAAATGTTGCCTATGACATAACAGGTGTTCAGTATTACTTGATGAATATATGAATGAATGGATGGATGAATGAATAAATAAAAATATACCAATGATTGGTTAAAAGATTTCCCTATAGCAGTGTTTATGTATTGTGTATGACAGTTTGCTTGTCCAGTATTTATTATCTGAGAATGAACATTGAGTTAAGAGTCTTTCACTTAAAGTTGGTGCGGTGGCTCACACCTATAATCCCAGCACTTTGGGAGGCTGAGGTGGGTGGATCATGTGAGGTCAGGAGTTTGAGGCCAGCCTGGCCAACATAGTGAAATCCCTTCTCTATTAAAAATACCAAAAAAAAAAAAAAAAACATTAGCCGGACGCGCTGGCAGGTGCCTATAATCTCTGCTACTTGGGAGGCTGAGGCAGGAGGATTGCTTGAACCCAGGAGGTGGAGGTTGCAGTGAGCCAAGATGGCACCACTGTACTCCAGCCTGGGTGACACAGCAAAACTCTGTCTCAAAAAAAAAAAAACCAGTCTTTCATTTATTAACCATGTTCTCTGCGTGTTCCATCAGTCTCTCTCAGCCTTTAGAATTTCCACATTCAGGTTCAAATGTAACAGAATGTGAAAGTATTTTTTGTAAAACTGGATTTACAAATGTGAGGTTTCATTGTCACTAAAGTGTAAGCCATTTTTATTCTAAGATCTAGCATCATCGCCTTTCCCTATAAAGTATGAATTATGAAAGAAACTAAAGAATGTTGGAACTCCAGTTCTCTACTGCCTAACCCCTCTGCACATCCAGATGATGTCCACATTGTGTCACAATGATAAGAAACCTTCAGATTCCTACAGCACCTTCTGAACAACCAGACAGAGAATATATTATGTTTGATATAGTTTTAGTCAAATATATTTTAACTCTTTAAAAATTAATTATTCAAGACAGGCACAGTGGCTCATGCCTATAATCTCAGCACTTTGGGAGGCCAAGGCCGAGAAAGATTGCTTAAGGTCAGGAGTTCACTTGAGACTGGCCTGAGCAACATAGATCTTGTCTCTACAAAAAATTTTAACAATTAAAAAATATATTCAATATGACACATGGTACTTGCCCATTAACCAAACAATATTATTAACCAAATATTACTATTCATGCCAGTAAAATCTATGAAGTACTATAGATGATCAGATATATTATGTGGTTTTCTCCAAAATTATCCTTCAAAAAAGAGGGCGTTGCTTTATATTTGGGTCCTTATGAAGTCATATTACAGAGCTCTTTGTCAATTACATGACTTTCACAGAAAATATTGCCTTAAGAAAACACATTAGCATGGAAATTATTCAATTGATTCTAGTTTTAGATACTCATGTCGGTCACCCAGAATTGCTAGAAAAGATAACAAAGACATTTAACATGAATTTAATCACTAATTCCTCACAATCATTGGTGTGACTATCATGTAAATAAGTCTTTTAAATATCACTTTAAAAAACAATGCTGCATATGATTATGTTGCAAAAATTAAGAATAAACATCTAAAAGATGCAATAGATGTACTATTAAGCAAATTGATAATTTCCATTGGTGCCTGTTATGGAATGAATTATGTCTCCCTATGGCCCCCAAATTCATATATTGAAGCCCTAACTCCCAACATAGCTGTATTTGGAGATAGGCCTTTACAAGTAATTACGGTTAAATCAGGTCATTGACGTGGGCCCTATTCCAGTATGACCAGTGTCTTCATAAGAAGAATAAATTAGGGCACACGCATGACAGACGGCCATCTACAAGCCACGAAAAGAGGCTTCCAGGGAAACCAAGTCTGCCAACACCTTGGTCTTAGACTTCAGTCTCCTAAACTGTGAGAAAATAAATTTCTGTTGTTTAAGCCACGCAGTCTGTGGTACTTTGCTATGGCAACTTTAGCAGACTCAAGAGTATCCCATAGGCTGGTTCAAATGGTGGAGTATCCCATACAAATAGATGGAAGTTCAGACAGTATGCCCTGGATACATTCCAGATGACTCACAGTGGCCCTAGTGATCATGAGGAAGAAAACAGCAGCAAAGATCTTTGTAAAGAGTTTGATTGCAATTGTTCTATAAAACAATCATGGAAAAAAAAATAGTGTTTTTAAAATAACATTTTTATTTTTATTTTATTTTTTTTTTTTTTTG